GTCCATTAGATGGATCCTACCATTCCTTCAGTGGTATCAGAGCTAGGTTCGAATCTTGAACCAAAAAAAAATCAAATCTGACCTTGCGCAGATGGATAGATGTTGTTCTTCCAAGATTTGCGCAGATTGCTTTCTTTTTTTTTCAAGAAATGGTTTCTTGTTAAGGGCGGTTGATCTGAAATTAATTTTGTTAAATCCAAAATGTATTTAGAATTGTTCTTTATTTATTTTGATTTAATGGACTGTTCGAACCTGGAGATCGTAGTGCAGATTTGGCGCAGATGGTCTACGCACACTTTTTTCGATCTATAGGATGTATCTAGATCTGTTTTAGCTCGAGAATGCATCAATGAAGCTGAGAATCTCATGGCCTGAGGTGGTATCAATAAGTTGATCTATCATCTGAAGGAAAGGGAGATCCATCATATCGATGACCGAACCATGCAGGGTGGCTGGGCAAAATTTCAAAAATTTCTCTCCCATCCGAGAATCCTATTCCCTGATTTAGAAAAACTGCATTTTTCAAGGTTCGTTCTTAAAACAAACTAGACCAGATTTGAAACCAAAAGAGGGAGAGGAATACCTAATACGGAATCCATGCAAAAGCTCTTCCCAATATAAGTGTTAACACCCAAAGAGGTCACCAAAACCCGCCTCCACTAAAGATGACACAACTTATGTTGAGGCAAGATCAGCAAAGGGATTCTTCATTAAGAACCCAGGTTCTTCACCAAGAATCGAATAGGGAGTATGTGAGCACGAATTTAGATTGTTTCTTCTACCAAGAAACAATATCAAGAACTGTTCTTGATCACTCAAAGAGCTGAAAATCGAACTGGGTAGGGCGGCAAGAGCAGAGAGAGAAAATGATTGCAGAAAGAATTGTTTCTTTAAGAAAAATTCACCCTCCTATTTATAACCTTCTTTGGATCAGCTTCCTAATCCAATTAGGAAAGAGTTATTTGATCCAAATCATTATTTGGATCTAGACTCTTAAATGGATAAGACTTATCTTATCTTTTAGCTAATCCTAATCAGATTATAAATCAGAATTCGCCCATTTAATTAAATCACTTAAGCCCAATTCGAAATGGGTTTTAGGCCCATTTAGTCACGTAGCTCACTTTCCCTTTAAACGCTGGCTAGTTTGGTTCTCTTTGTATGGCGTGGGACCCTAGCATTGATTTCCACAAAAGCCATATGGGTTCAGCCCAGCCTTTGTTACAAGGCCTGGCCGAATTCATTACTGAAGACAGTAAACTCCTGAGTCCATCAACATGGGCTCTTAGCAGGCCCAACATTTACACTAAATGATCCTTGGGTCCAGCCACCTTATGAAGGCCCAAGGACTGTGGACTTATGTGAGATTAACCCATCAGGTTTATTATCCCTAAATGGTTTTACACTTAACCTCTTAGCCCATAATGATCAAACACTGTCCGACAAGAAAGGACCTCTCCTTCGGCTGCAAGGTACAGTGTTGCACTCTCTATTCACATGGATCCCGGGAATTAAAACCTTTTGCAAACATTTTGTTGAACTATAATATATATGTATATCTCTATATAAATATATTTTGCAAAACAAATCTTAACAAGTTTGAAATCAACTACCGGTAGTAAGGTTTTCATTAGAGAGTGCATTTCCCGATCATTCACTTTGTCCGACAAAGGGGCTGATTCTGTCACTATGATCTCCCACTTAGATGAATTCTCAGACTGCCCCAACATACCTAGGTTTTTCTCCCTCTAAGGATCTCACTGATTGACATATCAAAGACAGCCCAATCTGACACCTAGTGCAGTACCATAATCGAGTCTAGGGGTCAAGTGTAACTTTCTAGTTTTGCCCATCTATCTCCAAGGTCTAGGGCATAACTGGAAAATGGTCCGATTTCAGAGTTTCAAGCAAACTCACACTGCATGTGCTTTAGGTCTCACTCTAGTAGTTGAGACAAGCCACCCCAACCCACTTGATAGAAGATCAGTATCAGCCTTGGCAGGATAAATCTTCGCATATCTATCCAACGACTATGAAAATTCTAAACTAACACAAGTCTCATAAATGTCCAATTTAAGGATATTCAGAGATTCTTCCCCATCGTGAACAGTAGGGTTATTCTTCCCTTCAGTCTTGTGATGTTACGAAAGAGCCTTTCTAGAGGGGCATTGACCGGCTATAGATGGTCTATCTAATCTTCTGGTGTCGACGAGGACTCAACACACTTTATAGATAGCAATGTTGACTGAGATCATAAGTGTGTCATCATTGGGCATTTGAACTTCATCCAAATTATCCTTTGTGAAACTAACGAGAGTGTCCCCTTTGAGCATCTTTTAGGCTTGGTTATTAACTTGATTCAATTGAGTATAGGCCTTTCTCTCCCTATCATCGTTCCTCTAGAGATAGTCATAATTGCTATGTCAAGAGAGGGATTTTGGTTGTCAGGTGCATTAGCACAACTTAAGTCAGGCTTGCACAAATTTCGACGGTCAACATCATACCCGTTAAGATAGCCTCATCAAACGAGGTCTTCAATGTGACTACAAAAGTTCTAATAATCCTCCATGTCATGGTCGTGGTTATGGTAGAATTCGTAGTACTTATCCCTGGTCCTCATGTTTCCCTAAGATTTCATTTTTTCTGGCCATCTGATGAAAGTGTTGATTCCTAACCTAGAAGAGGATCTCGACTGGAGGTGCACTCAAAGGTGTGTAGTTCTGAAAGATTGATGAGGAGCTCCTTGGCCTACAATTCCAACACCTGTCCAACATTTTTTTTCGTGCTCCTTTTGCTTCCAGTCATGCCTACCTTCTTCAACTTCCCTCCAGTTCACCTATGCCTCTTTGGCGTTAATGTCCTTCTAGGCGCAAGTGAGGATCTCTTGCACATTATGTGGGGGCTTCTCCAGGGAGAAATTAAATCCGGAGGTCTGCAAGTCATACATCAAGACGACCATTGCTACTGATTGGTCAAGATTTTGAACGTAGATAGATTCGGTGTTAAATCTCACCAAGAAATCTCTAAGAGATTCATTGTCTTGATGCCTCAATTGCGTGTCTCTAAGAGACTCATTGTCTTAATGCCTCATTTGCATTAGGTAGTAGCCATTTTTTAGTGTCTTAGTTGCTAATGAACCAGCAGAGAAGAGATCCTCAAACTTGCACCAAGAGGCGATGAAACGAAACATTTTATAGGTTTCTTTACTTTTCCCTTTCCTTTCCCTATCTTTTCCTTCAAACATTTTATAGGTTTTCATGCAATATTCTTGATTTTAATATTTCCATTAAGATTTTGGAATTGCAAAACCATTTGCCTGAGTTATATTATAAATTTTAGCGTGGAACTCAGCACTCATCACAAATTTAAAATTTTAACATGGACTAGCCGGATCTACGGCAACAGTGCCTCGAATTTCTACAAGTCCAAAAATGCTGCTCGCACACCATGCAAACAACTTAGACGTTAACTTGTTATATATATTTATATATAAAGATAAGATGAAAACATCCCAAAACACCCTGATTGTGAACACATAAGCCTCTTGCATGTGCTCCGCGTGGTTGCGTGATCCATCCAAAAAATATTGATAAACAAGAAATGTACCCTCCCAACAGTCGACCGTTGGATTTTATTCTGCCAGTGTAGCAGTATACATAAAAAAACAGTGGATCCTGTACGAAGAGTGACGCCATCAGTACTTGAAAAAACCAAGACCACAAGTCCCAGAAGCAGCTTAGACACAGGAAGACAGAGTCGAATCACAGAGAGCAAGCAAAAGAAGGATTCCAGACTTCTAGACAGACACTCCATTGGGACGTTGTCTCCTGCTCGTCTGCTCCGTTTCCACTCGTAACATAGATGAGATTACAAACAAAATCAAAACATAACAGAATGGACGTTACTGCTCCTTTCCTTTCTCGTTTCCATATTACAAATTAACAATTTGACATTCACAGTTAAATATATTTTTCCTGAAATAGATAATAAAGAATTGTTAAAGAAGAAAGGGAAGAAAGAGAGATCGATTCAGGCAGGATTCAGGATAGTTATTAGAGAGGTCCTTCCTCTCTCTCCTCTTCGATATTTTGAACTTGCACAGTCTTCAAGGAATCATCGGTCCAAAACTCTTACACACTATTAACGACTTCTGCTCCCCACCTTGACAGAAGAAAAACGTTGGTGGGCAGCTAAACAAACAGTTGTCCACTAAATTCACCGTTGCTGAACCCGGTTTCAGTGCCATTAGGGGTCCTGGTATCGGCCCAAACAAGTAGTTTCCCCCAAGTAAGAGCCTCACCAACTGTGATGCTCCCGCGATGGGAACGACGGCTCTCAGAGCATATTGAGATGGTATCATCCCTGTAAACTTGTTGTGCTCCAACGACAATGCTGACAGCTTCGGCATCATCGCCATGAAAGCCGGCAACAATCCCTCAAGTTCGTTGTAACTGAGATCAACTGCTATCAACTCGCTCCGGATGCCCAGGTTCCAGGGCACTTGTAAAGACGAGAATTTGTTGTGAGACAGAGTTAGTTGCTGCAGTGATGGGTGGTCGAACAGAGTAGATGGAACAGCCCCGGAAATTCGGTTGTTAGTGAAATCAATCACTTGTAGGAAGCCCAAATCCCGAATGTTCGCCGGGAAAGGTCCTTCTAGGTAATTGTTTCTCATCGAAAGCTCAACCAAGGACCCCGGGATGTTCGTCGGGACGCGCCCGGAGATCTTATTGTCGCTGGCATCCAAGAAATATAGGTTCTCTAGGGAACCCAAACTAGGAAACTCGCCGGAGAGGTTGTTACCTTGAAGCTCTAGCCTTTTTAAGCTTACCAAACCGTTGAAGCTCGGGGGAATTGGACCCTGAAGACGGTTGTTGTCGAGGTAGAGCTCTTCGAGACTAGAGAGGGACCCAATGGAGGTGGGTATCTCGCCGGAGAACGAATTTCTCGAGAGAGCGAGTCGGCGGAGGCGAGTCAGGTTGGAAAGCGAGTTTGGGATGGACCCAGATAAGGAATTGTCGGCGACGTCGAGGATTTCCAAGTAAGGGAGGTTCCAGGCGGAGGAGGAGAGGGAGCCGGTGTACCCAGCTCGGTCGAGGCTGATCTCGGTGACTCGGCTGCGGCCGGCGACTACGCGGTCGCATCTGAACCCACAAGTAAACCGCTCGCTAAAGATGTTGTCGCATGGGTCCACCGAGAAGTCCCACGAGCTCAAACAAGATCCCGGCGTCACTGACCCAAAATCGATAGCCCTCTTCAGCTCCTTCAAACTCTCTGCATCTCTCCAATACGTTCTGGAATCTCCTTTGCTCAACAGCTCTGAAACTGTAAATAAGAACAAAAACAGAGCCGATAGATGACAACAAGAACCACCCATTTCCTTTTTTTCTCCTTCCACTCCTTCGGCCTTCGCTCTCCGTTTTCCCTTGGAGATCACAAGCAAGCTTTACCTTCGGTTCAGTCTTCAAGCTTCAGAGACGAGCGAGTTAGCCGCAGGAAAAAGTCGTAGGAACAGAAAGAAAGAGAAATGCAAACATCAACACCGTCCGTTCAGAAAGGCGGAAAAAAGAATGCGAGAGATACAAGATGGAGATGAAGTTGGATTTGAGAAGAGAAGAAAGAATACAAACGACAAATGCAAGAGAAAGTGCTGGCTTTTTCTTCTCCCTTTTCTCTTTGATCAAAGATTTTTCGTTGAGGTCTCACTCCTCACGGGTAATTGTCAGACCTCCTCACCACTGCCGTATTTAAATTTGTATGTTTTCTCGAGCCCAAACGGACGAAAAAGAGAAGAGAGAGAGAGAGAGCAGAGAAGTACTCAGAGAAATCAGAAAATTTTAATCGAAAAGAGAGAAAAAAAAGGTAAAAAAATGAATTAAAAAAAAATAATGCATAGAATACTTCCCTCTGTGTGCCCTTATAATGTCTGCATGTTAGAAGCAGATGAGCATGGTATGACAACTAATGTTACGTATACGTAAAGGAATATTCAGCCACGTCCATATCTCTTGATAATCTGCTTTGCTGAAATTGCTTGATTATCTAAAATCAAAGAAGAACAGCCAAACGGAATTTCGTCTATTTTACAATAAGGAAAAACTAAATGAAAAGAAAGAAAAATGTCGGTAACGGAACAATCTCGTAATTTTTGGGTTTAGGTTTAAGGCGGAATCGAGTTAACCATTAAGGCAGGGCGGAGTAAACGGGACAAGCAGGTTAATCCAAACATGTCTGCCATGCCAGATGGATCATTAAGAACAATTGACCGTCAGAGTAGGCGACAAAGTTGGTAGGACAAGGGCATCGAGTAGGGTAAGCTGTACGCCTTCTTCAACTTTTTCGATCTTGTTTTTGTCTCCTACCACCATCAGCAGTGACCACTGAGCAGTGTGGGATCAAATTTTGTTCATGTTCATCTTCCAGTTCCAGTTTACCTGCCTATTCTCTTTCTTTTGTTGTTTAATTTGATACTACACAAATTAATTACCATAAATAGGCTAATAGATTTGTAATTTGGTTTGGGTTAAGACTTAAAAACTTAAAGGTGCCCAACCCCTGCCCAAATACGGTTGCAAATAAGTCGGATCAGATCCGGTCCAAATCCGGATTCGGATCCCTCCTGATCTTAATAAATCGGATCGGATTGGAAAAGTCAATCCGTTAACTTAATGAATTGAATTCGGATATTGGCTGATTGGGGTGGTGTTCAGTGGTGTGGAAGCACCATGATATATTGTGTTTTCAAATATACCACCCAAAATTATTAATCCGGTTGCACGGTGGTATAGATCAAATTATACTATATCGTGGATTAGTTTACACTACAAGGCAAAATATCGTCTACGGTTATTTCTTGTGGACAGCCCATTGCTATCATGGACATTTATTTCTAATTTGTTTCTATACTTTTTGCACTACTCTATAGTGTGTCTTTCGATGCTTCACACTATTTTCAACATATTATCATTGAATTTAGGGTTTATCACTATGAAGCCCATGTCTGCTACCTCTTTATTTCATGTCGGGCACTATTGCTACTCCGAACACCATTGCATTATTGGACCATTAGATGTAAGCATGCTTTTCAAAACCGGACCGGATCGGACAATCGAACAGGAAAATCGGGAACCGGTCAGGTGATCGGTTCCATTTTTCCCCAAAACTGGATTTTTGCCAAAAAAGTGTTGATTTGGTCAACAAACCGCTGACCCGGGCAGTTGAACCGTTCAACGATTTTGACCGTTTTATTTTTTATTTCTTTTGTCAGAATGGTCGAACCATCCGACCTGGGAACTGGATCCTTGACCGGTTCGTTGTCTGGGTCAGTTTTAAAAATCTTGGATGTAAGTGATTCATTTCTATTTTCCACTGTCATTTTGTTTTTATTTTTTTGTGAAATATTTCCCTCTTACTATTTGGTTTCATTGGTCATTACAAGGCTTGCCGCTACTAATCCGTTGGTAGGAAGAAGCTCACCATTGTTCACCATTTCCCGTCGTTAGGGATGTAAACGGATCAAATCGAATTCGAATCAAGGTGTATCTGAATCCGATATGACATTGTTCATTGTAGATTTGATCCGATCGGGTATGATAGGCAAGGATTTGAATTCAAATATGATTGAGAAGTCGGATATTTGGATCTAATCCGATTCAATTTGTTTTCTTTAAAAAATAATAAATTATTAAAAGAAAAATAAAACATACCAATTTAAATAAATAAAAACAAAAAGTACAAGTATTTTTTTAATTATTTTCATCATATATATACATTTTTTATAAAAAAAAAATAAATAATATAATAAATTTACAAAAAGACAATATAAATACCATATTTATAAATAAACAAATAACATATATATGTATTATATATTTATATAAAAAATATATAACATATATCGGATCTTCTCGGATCATATAGGGGTGATCCGAATCCGGTCCGATTTTTGATTAGATCCTATTGTTCTACTCGAAAATCCAAACAGGGGGTGATAGGAATTCAACCAAATATGATCAAATCTCTAATCAAATCAGATCATGATCCGGTCCATTTGCACCCCTATCCTCGTTATTTGTTGCTACAACAACTATCGCCACCACTAGTAAGAATTTATGCACTTGCTATTGTAAAATTAACTAGATTTTGTGAGAAGCATTCCTAATTTCCCATTACTGTCATATCATGTGTTAACCTATGTTGTAATTGAGATGTATGAAATCATAATACAAGGTGTGGACTGAAATGCAACAAATCTTATAGAGTGCATGCGGAAGTGTGGTGTGGTTCAATCCATACATCTTTATTCACAGTGCATAACAACTACCTCGTTAGGGGGGTGGAGTGTTTTCATCCACACCACACCTGTGATGTGGATGAAAACACACCATCCAATTTCTCATCTATGATATAGAAGACCCCCTCGATCTGTTGTGACCTGATTTGATCTATTAATTATGAAATATTATATATTATATATTATTTACATATTATATATGTATATTCTGTGTATTATTTATATAATTATATATTATATATTATATATATTAATATATTAATATATTATATAAATAATATAATATTTATTTTATAATATAATTTTAATCGAATCGAATAAGGTAATATATTCGAATTGGAATTTGAATCATATTTTTCAAAATCCGACGGATCCAGTCGGATTTTATTAACGGATCGAATGGGATATGCCTTTACCGAATCCGATCCGATCCGTTGTAGCATTATGCCCAAATGTAAAATGGGATTAGCAATACCTCCTTTTTCCTTTCTTGGGATGAGAAAATTAATAAAAATAATATTGCAAAGAAAAAAGGGGAATAAAAAAGACGTGAGAAGGGGGATCAACCAACACTAAGCAAAAGGGCCGGCGGTTTTGCAGGTCATCGTGTAACTGAATTCAATCTATACAGATGGAATGGATTCTCCATGAATTTTCACAAGAGATAAAGATTGAGCAATGGAGGCTGGAGAATTTCTCAGCTACAATTAGTGCACCGCTTCATCTATGTTTTTTTAATAAAATAAATAAAAGCTCTCTTCTCACTCACAACCATTTTTTTTAATGAAATGATATACAACGCTTAGGAGATGTTCCCCTCGCTAAGAATTAACTTTTAGTCGTTTGGGTCCTTCTAGGGACTTGGGTTGGGAAAATTGTAGTCTCTTCACTAATTTGTATTTGATTCCACGTTATATTAGCCATTAGGTGTTTGGTAAGTCTTCGAATTTTGGGGTTTTTAAAGTTTGGAAGATTAAGGGGATCGTAGCCATTTTTCTGAAAAATGGTGTCACCTCAGATCCACATAAGTGTTTTATTAAATGCCCATATACATGATTGTTTGGTTTAAAAAATGTTTGATCCATGGACATGTTTCGTAAATCGGGACCCACTGATTAACCATTGGAAGCAACATACATGAAAAACGATGATGAAAACCATTATACCAAACAGTATAGTATTGTTCATTGCCTACGTGGCAGAAACATTTTCAAACAAATCAAAGCGTTTTTTTTTTTTTTTTTGTAAAAAAGAGGTCTTAAAAACATAGGCATTTTTTCTTGAAATTAGTCCCAAAAAAGCCGACACTTCCAAATACCATCTAAAATTTGGTTTTTTTGTCTAACAATGAAAGATAGGAGGCTAGAAATATCTCTGTCTTAAATAACTTATAAAGGCCTAAAATGACCGCAAACTTGCTGAAGCAGATAAACGCTCCCTCCCTTTCATCTCTCTTTATCCAAATAACTTCTAATGTACAATGATAGAAATCTCCCCCGTCATTTTAATAAAAACCTCCCTCACTTCCTAAACAAAAAAGCCGACCAAATGTGTTTATTTTTTTAAAATGCCTAATTTTCCCTTATGCCTATCTATTTAGATGTAGATTTATTAAAATATCCTTCAAAATACAGTTCATTTTCTTTGAACCAGAGCCACCAGCCTTCTCTATCTCTTAATTAAGTTTGCCCCACTGTCTTTAGTTTGCTATGTCCATTGTATACCCATGGCCTTTTTCCAAATCAATTTCAGAGACTCCTCAACGCATTTTGAAAATGTGTTAGTGGATTGACAATGATACAGAATCCACCATTGTAGTAAACGGAAGTAGAATTATTGGAGATCAAATGATCTATGAACAAGAATCTTCTATGCTTCTGATTGACAATAATGAAAATCTAAAACCCCTCTGCGTTTTAAGCATCTTTTCTACATTTCAAGCAATTGATCGACATTATAAATCTCAAAAAGACAATTGCTTCATCAAATTTCAGAACACCATAATGAAATTAAAGAAGTTCAAACCTACTTAATTGAGAGTATAAGAAAAACCATTGCAACCACGAGCCTTAACACCAAGCTTCAGAAGATGGCGTATATTAACGATTGCAGCATCCATCAACATAAGCGCTTGTTGCATAGCTGGACCAACCTTCTTCGCTGCAGCCGCGAGGACGGAAGCCATCTCTTTAATGGAGGTGCACTTAAGAAGTTTGTCATAAGCATACATGAAAGGACGAGGACGAAGAATACATACCATATGATGGAGATCACGAGGTGACGAGGAGGCGCATGTTTTTGAGTCCATGTGCGGGGAAGCATTGTTGAGGAATGATATCACATTAGAGAAAGCAGTGTTTTAAACAATGCCCTCTTGTTTGGTACTGTTTTTCCAAAAAACATTACTTCGGACCATGTCTTGGAAATTGGTAAAGTGTAGAATGGAGTAATGTCAAATTTAATGTTTTTTAAGAAAACGATGCAATAATGTGGCATCATCTTGGACGTTGGATAATGTAGATCAATGTTAAAAACGTTGTTGCCAGCACTCAAAACCAGTGTTGTTTGTTGTTTTCTTA